AAACATTTTTCGAAGATGTCGTATGGAAAGATATTAAAAAAAAAGAAAAAAGCTGTGGGCAAATTTAGAGATGACACCATAAATTACCTGAAAGAGGATACGTGATATACTGGATACAACTGACAGGAGAGAAGAGGTAGTGAAGGCTTATACTGAGTAGACACAGGACTGAATGAATGAATGAATGAATGAGTGAACAAACACATGAATAAACTCCTACAGTATTTTTCTTGGTTTCTCTTTTGGCAACTGAACCAGCAGGTATGCCCATAATCCTGAGCAATCAAGCACTGCAATTTTTTTTTTTTAAATATTTTTTTCAACGTTTTTATTTATTTTTGGGACAGAGAGAGACAGAGCATGAACGGGGGAGGGGCAGAGAGAGAGGGAGACACAGAATCGGAAACAGGCTCCAGGCTCTGAGCCATCAGCCCAGAGCCCGACGCAGGGCTCGAACTCACGGACCGCGAGATCGTGACCTGGCTGAAGTCGGACGCTTAACCGACTGCGCCACCCAGGCGCCCCAAGCACTGCAATTTTTTAAGAGTATTTATTTGAGACAGAGAGAAAGAGAATGGGGGAGGGGCAGAGAGAGACAGAGAGAGAGAGAGAGAGAGAGAGAGAGAGAATCCCAAGCTCCTCCACTGACAGACAGAGCCCAATGAGGGGCCCGAGTCCACGAACTGGGAGATCATGACCTACCTGAGCCCAAATGGAGTCGGACACACTTAACTGACCTCGCCAGCCAGGCGCCCCAAGCACTGCAACTTCTATACAATACTTAAAAGAGACTGATTTAGAAGCACAGTGTCAGATAATCAAACTGGAGCAGGAGGTTCAAGAGACCAGAAAGGTGGAATTTTTTTGTTGTTGTTTGTTTTGTGTTCATTTTTGTTCTATAGATGAGGAGATACAGGTACCACGACGAAAAAGAGCTCTCCCCAGCACCAACTACACATTTTAATGGAGGGCAACTGAAAGAACAGATGTTTATGTCACCAAGATGGGTGTCCAAGAGGTATAGAGAGGATCAAAAGTATATTCCTCTGGTCTGAAAGATGCTGAAGAAAAGCCAGAACCCACAATTTGCCTGATATGTTAGTATGATTAGTGCACACAAGTCCCTTTCGTGGACTGTTCCAAAAGAATCCATCAACATTCAGTGGTTCAGTCTTTTTTTTTTTTTCAACGTTTATTTATTTTTGGGACAGAAGAGCAAGGCGAGCAGGCTGAGGGGGGTACAGAGAGAGGAGGAGGCACAGAGTCGGAACAGGCTCCAGGGCTCTGAGCCATCAGCCCAGAGCCCGTGCGAAGCTCAAACTCACCGGACCATGAGATCGCAGTGACGACTGAAGTCGGACGCTTAACCGACTGCGCCACCCAGGCGCCCCGGTTCAGTCTCTTTTAAGTAAAACAAAGGAACCTATTCCTTTCAGACACAATGTGCCCAAATCAGAAACTGTGGGCTCCTTTGTAAACTACACCAATCCCTTACAATCGATCTTTCAACAGGTGCTGATGCACTCTTTGAAAAAGTAATATCTGCCCTTTAAAACGAGCACCCCGTTCACCCCAAGTGTTCACATTCACAGTAGCATGGACGCTCTTGAAGCTTTCAAGGTATATCTTAAACACCAAAATCCAGCTTCAGATTCAACATTTCCTTCATCCTCAATGATTCCGAATCAAAATTAATAAATTAAAAAGCTTCGCTCTTCACTTTCAATCTGTATAATCCCCTAAGGGACCAAGCATGAAAACATTCACATAAAATACTAGCTTTATGTATCTAGGAGAGATAACCTGAACCAACAAGGTGACCGATCAATCTTCAGTTACATCTGGCATCTAGAGAAGATGGTGGGGCATATGCTTACCACTGACCAAATGAGAGGGCTTTACACTTTAAGGATTCTACAACCTCCCCCGATATGTAAATTAAGATCAGTATTCACTAATAAAAGAAGTTTTTTTTTTTTTTTAAATAACAACTCACCTAGATATTCCACACTGTTCTAATTTAAAACGCACAGAGAAATATTTTGAATCCCATTCAAAGCCAAAGGGATGAGTATCATCAACTCAAGAATTACAATTCAATGGATTTATGAAAATTAACTTTTAAATGGAGTTTATATACAAAAGATACTCAGCCAAAACATAAAATGTATGTATATATATAGACCTCTTTCCTTTTACGTTCACCGTTATAATTTTTAGCATACTGTAAAATTCAGTTACATTTAAGCACTCTGATTTAATTGATAGAGACCCTTTCTTTATACTATTACACTGCTAAAATTAATAACGTAAAGCATAAAATTTCAGCATGAAGTTTATTTAGCTCATACATTATTTTACACCGTATACTTACTACATCAAACTTCTGAGTGATGTTCCCCTGGACATCAAGTAAATAAACCTTGCCATAATGTGTGCCCAGTGCCAAAAACTGCAAGAAGAACAGAGGGGGGAGTTTATTAGTGAGCCCACCAACGCACATTTAGCAATCAAACCAATTTCAAAGTCGACACTCTGAATGCGTAAGTGATCTCTGCAGTGCCTCGGAAGATGCGCACGCGTTGGAGGAGGCTTGTTTCCAGCTTCAGGGAAAGAAGAGAGCAGGGCTGACTGCCGTAGGAGTGCACGCTGGCTGTCAGAATGACTCATGACGACCCTCATCTACTGACGACTAATGGTGTGTCTGCGGTCTGTACACAATGCCTGACGGACTGGGGCAGCAAATTCACATGCAGCTGGGAAAGCACGAACAACCTACAGTTGAGCTCAAAGTCAAAAGGAAATGATGAAACCCCCCTTAATTTATGGCAAATGTGTAAATCTGTGCTATCATGTGGGTTTAACAAACATATATGTACATGCGCACAAACAACAGAGTACTGTTTTTTAGGAAGCAAAATCTGAGTCCTGTTGGGGGATGAAAAGCTCAGAAGCATTTACATCATCAGTTAGCATTAGATGCTCTACAAAAGTTAGTGGGTAACACGAACTACAGATGTTTATATCCTAATGCGAAAAGAATCCTTTCCCGTGACAAAATAACTGCTGAACTATGTATTCAGTTTATGGTAGGAGAAAGTTCTGGACTCCCACCGTTCCTTTAATTCTTTGAACCAACCCTAAACAAACCTGAAGAAAGTTGAGAACTACCTGAAATAGAACAGGAGATTTTTTTCTTCCATTTTACTCCTTTCCCCATTACTCAAATGTTCCGAATTCTAGGTCTTTCATTGCATGTGAGCATGCTTCGTTGCAACCTATAATGAAATGCTGAAATTTACAGTCACTACTAAGCGTTTTAGCCAAGCAGCACAATGTTTATAAAAATAACCTTACAGGAAGTCAAGGTTTAAAAGGATTTTATCAAAATGGAATTGCTGAAAATGAAATTTCATTTAAAATATGAAGCTACATTAAAGAGAAGTCACAAAAAGGGAGAGAAGGGGCTCATTAGAAATTCATCCCCGGCGATGCCTTTCACTCCTGCAAGGTTGCCTTTTTTCAGGAAGAAAAAAGTCCCCCGGGTAAAAAAATCAATACTGGTTAATAAAACATCAGGTGTGCAGACATAACTAGGTATGACGATTTGGCCGCACAGGCCTGCCTGAATGCACCAGGTGCCGTGCCGATTATTCATCCAGGGCAGACAGCCAGCCTGGTGTAAGCGGATGCCCGGGCCCTGCAAACGAAGGGGCAAGAGGTAATTCTAGGGGGAAATTAGTCTGAATATTTAAACCAAACCGGGACGTTGCCTCCAAAGCAAAAGAACATTCTAATCAGAAACAGAGGACTCAGATGGCTCAGATGCTTGTAATTTTTTCTCCACAGTGACACTCGGACAGTATTTGAATAGAAAAAAACCCACATACTACTAGCTAAAAACAAATACTCCGCTTCATTCCGCAGCGGTCTATGGTGAAACAATGAGTCTTAAAAGCTCACTGGGCCCCAAGTACTGGACGGTATTGATTCTCCTCATAAATACTGTATTTAGTTTGTCAGAAAACTAAGGGGGCTTGGATCCTTAAACTGCTTTAACACTGGATGATTCTGCAATACCTCTGTGGAGGCCATTCTTGAACTTCCAATTATACTTGATTTTATCAAAAGTTTTAAAGGTTCTATACAGAGCACCCAAATATTAATTCCTTCCCTTTTTCTTTCTTTCAAAATTGCTAGTTTCATTCACTTAATATTTCAGATAGAAAGAAAACGTAATTATTTTGATTTTCCTGTTTCAACCTGAAACCATAATTACTTTAGAACACTTCTGAACACAAATGCAGCAGTTTCTAGGACAAGCTACCTTTTGTTTACTAAAACATTTCATCATTTGGATTAGATCAATTGTTGCTGCTGCCTTTTAGAAATAAATACTTTACGTGCCCTTAAAAAAAAAAAAGTCTCGATAAGACAAGTGTATAGGTCTTAGACAATCTAACTACTGAGACTATCGAGGAGTCACACTTTCCCTTACACATGCTTCAGACTATTCAAAATACAACAAAAATGCAAACTTGGCTACAAATCACAAAGGTAAATATAAACCCTTTAAATGTGATTCTTCCCAGGAGCATCTGGGTGGCTCAGGTCACAATCTCGCGGTTCACAAGTTCAAGCCCCACGTCAGGCTCTGTGCTGACAGCTCAGAGCCTGGAGCCTGCTTCGGATTCTGTGTCTGCCTCTCTCTCTGCCCATGCCTGCTCACTGTCTCTCTCTTTCTCTCTCTCTCTCTCTCTGAAAAATAAATAAAAATATTTAAAAAAATGTTTTTCATGTGATTCTTTCCAGCCATTAAAAGCCTTGAGCTGTTGTAACCATTGCATTTTTAACCTGGGAACACTTAAAATCCAGGATGGGCAAAGGATAAGCATAATTTAATTAGTCCCTTCCATATTTAATTATAGAAACTTGACTCCTTTTATGAACTAGCAGACTGGACATCCAATCCTTCTGACCCATCCCATCCCCTGGAATAACTGCTTAACTGCTTTTACTCTGAATGAGCGGACTTTGTGGAAGCAGAAGAAAAGCATAAGCAGTCCTTCAGACCCCACGAAGGAAACAAGAAGGAGCCTGTTTCACACGTGATCACCTGTATAAAATCATCTATGTTTCGCATACCATTTTATAGTATTCAAAATATTAGAGCAGGGAGTGCCTTTAACTCGACATGAGAAAAGAAGCCCCAGGAGTTGATAGGCCCTCCCTGGAAACAGTCAATCACTGGCACACCTAAGGCTAGAATTAAGAGCCAAGATACTCTCAACTGGATCAGAGGCTTCATAAATAGAAACATGGGCATCATGTTAAGAGTGCATGTTCTAAAAGTCAGTACTGAGTACAGTTCCCACTGTCAGAAGGCTCCTTGACCAACCTGGTTAATTATGGTGTTAAAGTGTGGTCTCTGGGCGGGCAAACTGTGCTCCCCACTTCATCCAGAGGTTCATTCAACAGACAAAAAACACCTATATACGCTTCGATAATAAGCAGGTGTAACTTCAAAGGTGATGGTATAATGAGGGAGGTAGATTGAAAGGGCTGATTAATTAAATTTAAAGAGTATGCCTAAAATGGGGGCATCTCTAAGACCCTCTGGAACACAGCAGGTGTCAGCTCGCTGAGCTTTGAAGGAGGAGTTAGACTGTACACCCTGAGGCTGATGGGACAGGACGCGGTAAAGATCATTTTAGGCAGAGTGACTACAACTTGCTCAAAGGCATGGAGTCCTACAAAAAGCAGGACAAAGTCGGGGTACTGGGTGGCTCAGTTGTTTAAGTGTTCATCTCTTGATCTTGGTTCAGGTCATGATCTCACGGTTCGTGTATTCGAGTCCCATGTTGGGCTCTGCACTGATGGTGTGGAGCCTGCTTGGGATTCCGTTTCCTTTTCTCTGCTCCTCTCCTCTCTCTCCCTCTCTCTTTCTAAATAAACTTTGGAGAAAAAAAAAGGGTAGGACAAAGTCAAGAAATGACAAATAGTTTTACATGGTGGGAGCATCCAGTTTGCGTCCAAGGAAGAGACAGGTAATAAGGCTGGAAAGGCTGGCTAACAGAAAGCATCTGAATATTTATGGAGATGAAAGACAGGTGAGGAAAAGGGTGTGGGAGAATGTTTCCACATCATGAAGACATCAGGAAACCACTAAAGAATTCTACAGAGGATTACATGATCAGACTTGAATTTCTGGAAGATTTTTTTTTTTTAAGTGTTTATTTTTGAGAGAGGGAGAGACAGAGCATGAGCAGGGGAGGGGCAAAGGGAGACAGAATCTGGAGCAGGCTCCAGGCTCTGAGCTGTCAGCACAGAGCCCGGCGCAGGGCTCGAACTCATGAGCCGTGAGATCATGATGCGAGCCGAAGTCGGATGCTTAACTGACTGGGTCACCCAGGCACCCCTGGAAGATTGTTTTTAGTAGAAAGAAGTGCTGTGGATTTGCAAAGCAACATGTGCGTAAGTTCCAAAGAGAAAAGACAAATGCCTACACCAACAGACTCGAGCAGGTGGGATGGGGGTAGGATCTGGGCAGAAGAGAGGGTGTGAGTAAAAACAGCCACACGCTGCTACCAGAATACCACCCATACAGCAGAAAGGGGTAAGACATAAAGCCGGTTACACAAGAGGGCAGAATCTTAGGGGGCCTCACGTGCCACACATGAAGGAGCTGAGACTTTACGTAGCAGATGGTGAAAATCACCCAAGGGTTTTAAACCTGTATTTTCAACAGATGATCTGGCAACCAGGCAGCAGAGGGGTTTAAACTAGAAAAGGGAAGGGTGCCTGAGTGGCTCAGTTGGTTAAGCGTCCGACTTCGGCTCAGGTCATGATCTCACAGTTTATGGGTTCAAGCCCTGCATCGGGCTCCGTGCTGACAGCTCAGAGCCTGGAGCCTGCTTCGGATTCTGTGTCTC